ATTTTTTCGGATTAATTCGGTCGGTTTTTTCGATTTGGACCGAACCATGCTCAGCCCTAGTTTTGACTATTTAGGAACTTATTTCTCTACAGCACGCACGAGAGAAAAGAGAACAATCTCAAAAGAGAAAAGAGAAGCCAACTGCATCTACCTCGAAACATGGGAAGCGTGAAAGTGAGTCGTAGGAGAACAATCTCAAAAGATTTGCTTGCATAGCTTTTTCTACAGCGCGCATAAAGACATCAGCGACGCCAGACGGAGGCAAAGACAAAGCAATTGCTAGCTTGTATCTGTTGGTGATCACTACAGCAGTCCTATAGTCTACTACGCTACAGTAGTGCTCGTCATCAACGATGGAAACCCAAGACGCAAGTCAAAAACATCAAAAGAGGAAACAACAGCGAAAGGCATCATTTGGGCTTTTGTGCTTGTTGCCCACTTTGTTTGCATGCATGTTATTCTATGGGGGTTGTTTTAGATATAAGTCCACTTAAATTTTCAGTAATTGCATATTAACTTCTTAAATCTTAAAAATTGCATATATGTACGTGCTTCATATTTTATAGAATCTTGTCAAATGGTCTCTCCGTTAGTATTTCAGTTAGAAACTTAACCATGACTAGGTTAACTCTTAACACACCATCTGCAACTGCTAAACTATCTCTTTCTCTGATATTTCCAATCTTTGTGAAGCTCAGCCTTTAGTTAGGATTCTTTTCTAATCAAGTAGGTTGAGTTTTTAAAGATGGTATCGAGATTAAACCCATCAAAAAATATATTGGGGGGAACATAATAGATTGGTAAAATAGTTATTTTATTCCAACAGTATCCATAAATTTCAAATTCATGAAATAATATAAAAATAGTTAATAATAATTCACAAGAGAGAGATGCTTCGTCTTTTATCAAACTTGAATTACAACGGAACATCATAAGTGAAACATGTTTAGAAATTAAAAGAATGTCTCCCAACACTTAATGATGAACGTGACATCGTAGGCTAGCACGAGTAATTGCAAATCTTATTGATGAGCTAAGCCGTACTTAATTCCCCCCCACTCCTTTCTTTGTAATGATGAATTCAACTTAATAAGTGACAAGTCTCTGTCAAGTGGGAAGTAATTGTGATGCACGGTTTAGACTTCCTGTTCCTTAACCCATCTCCTAGAGTTCAAACATGACATATGGGGCGTATCATGGTTGTTACACACATATATATCGTACTAGTATGTAACACGTGCTTTGCACGTGATTTGTATTCAGTAATGATATGTAATTAAAATATTTGAAGGTCATTTAACATTACATTCGCGATGATTTTTTTTGGAACAACAAAGAGGACTCAAACAGAACCCCTAACCACGCACTCGCCATGAATTTATTGACATTTATATTTAGTTTTTCTCTCCACGGATTTGCATACTTGTATAACTAATAGATTGATGTTTTCTTGTAAATTGGATGTGAAATTGGTCGCACATCTATTCATTTCCTCCAAAGAAAAGCAATACAATTTTCTCTCTCAATTATCGCACATGAAATCTTGTTGACTGCGAGATATTAATATAATCGAGGGATTGACTCAACTGTCAAAATTCTCACTTCCTTTATTTTATTTTATTTTGACTCTTTTAGTATTTCTTTTTGTGCATTTGAGCATCCATATATAGCATTATTTTAGGCAACTCTTGATATCCAAGTGGCATGTTTATGGAAGTAGATTAGTCTTGAAACAATTAGTGCATAATTAATGAGGAGAATTTGACTAGTCAGTAAGAGAATATACTTTTATGCTTTATTTATGATTTCCTCACTAAAAATTATATTAAATGCATCATTAGTAGGTTTAGAAGGGGAGACGTCATAAATTACTTTATTAGCTAGGATTTAATTATTATATTGCAATAGTTTTATCATGAAAAAAATTAAGACACATCTAAACTAAACTAAAAACCCAGAAGTGCAACAAAGATTGTGGATTAACGCTGCTCCTCATCAAATTGCAAAATATTGTGTAAAAATGATGGTGGGTCTTCGAGCCATACCACAAAATCATTAATTTGCTTAGCTCTCCGGACCAACACATTAGCCTTTATATTCTCTACCTGAAAAATCTCATTCCTGTAGTCATGTGTGTTTGGGTCAAAAATCGTTGTTTTCATTGTGATTGAATCTATTACAACTTTAATCGTGTACAATAAACTCAAATAAAAAGAAAAGTTGATCTTTTTATAAGATCTCCTTTATACAATGAAAATAAAGATTACAACTCTTGTCAAACAGCGCAACAGACGTTTATCACCCGCTACTTGCGTGGGAACTTTGCCTGTGCCGGGGACGTTAATATCCGTGGACCGTCGCAGATCAGATCCGGTTGATAGATTGGTGATCAAAGCTCTTACTTCACGAAGGAAGTAATCGCTGCAGCGGTAATCTCGACCAAGCGAGATCACGGCTCTTCTCGAGAGTTAAGACCAAGCTTAAATCCGGAGGAACAAGGGACGAGTCTCGAATCTCTCGAACTCCACTCTTTATGCACATGAGATCGCCAAGATCTGCTAACCCTTGCTGTAAATTCGTGGCTCCACTCTCCAATTCGGCAGCATTTCGTCCTCTTGATCTCCTCTCATTTGAAATGAACACCCGAGCTCGTATTTATAAGCTTCGGAAGCGGGTATTTGGATAAGAACGAGGGATTCCTCCTTATCTTCAGTTAAGAACTGATTAACCATAATATCAGATCAGTTGGGACATTCAGGAACCAACAAATCCTGAGAGAATCCGTCAAAACCGAAAAAATCACGTTATAGATCAAATCTGGCCGAACAGTCACCCGGTGGCTCGACCTGGCCGGGCCACCAAATGGTGGCTCGGCCTTGGTCGATCCACCAAATGGTGGCTCGGCCGTCGAGTCACCGTTTGGTGACCTGGTTACGGGCCGAACCCCTGGTTCGGCCGAGTCGTTTTGATGTGACTCGGCCGCCAGCGGCTTTTATTGGTTTTTCGGGTTTTGACTTGTTCCGTCGTTACGCGTATTTCGTCGTTTCGTTGACTTATACCTCATTTTGATGGCTGATGAGCGTGCGGGCCACTTGGTGGTGGCTAGTGAGCATGCGGGACACTTGGTTCGCCAATTTGGTGACTGGTGAGCGTGCGGACCACTTGGAGGTGGCCGGTGGGTGCACAGGCTATTCGGTTCGCCGTTTCGCTTCATGTGTTCATCGGTATCGGATAATCCTCTTAGACTTAGATAATAGCGTTTATCACCTTCTCTCTGTCTCGAGCTGTGTGTGGATACCTATAGGCATTTTTAGATGCCTATAATGTGCAACATCTCTAAATATCATCCACAAAGTGTCAAAAATCGAGTGTTGCTTCACACCATTGTGGATATCCCTAATTATCGCATCCGCATCTTCTTTAAAAATTACCTTCCCACATCTATTAAGAGCAAATGTAATAGCTTCTCACACCGCTTGGAACTCGACATGCTTAGAATTAACTCGTATCCAAATGCTATGATAAGTATAGTGCAATAGTTAGTAATATATATTATGATAATTTATTTGCTATTTCTAGACTATACCAAATGGTTAACATATTAGTATTCCTCTCCACGTATTTTTTATACATCAGATGCACATATCAATATAATATTGTATTAGATTGATGTTAGATGTTTAAATAAATGTTAAATTATCTTAAATTATGATATTATTATCTTATATCTTCAAATTTTATATTTATTGTGTAATATATGATATTATTATCTTATATATTAAAATTGTATATTTATTGTATAATATCTAATATCTAAAGTGAAATATTTATTTTATTTAACATAAGACTAATATGGTTAAAATTTATAATATATCAATTATTATGTTTAGTGCAAGCTAATTAGTGTAAAAATTGAATGAATTGAATAAAATTTATAATATATATTTAGTTTTTAATATTAGTTCTCATGTTTATTGCAGGAATAATTATAGTGTAATAAATAGAATGAATTGAATAAATTTCAAGGCAATATTGTGAATTACTAAATTTTGGAAGGGTGGTAAAAGTGGCAATCAAAAGTTTTAACACCCAAATAATCTTTTATAAATAGTATAGATATATAGGTTACAATTAAAGCTAGACACATCATGTCTCAAACCTCGCTCATCAAAAAGGTTACAAAAGAAATGAACAAATATTATATTTTATAAATAAAATTAATAATTTTATGAACAAAATAACAATGTTATGAACAAACGAATGTAACGGTTTCATATTAAAGATTGTTTTTTATGAGTAAAGAGTAACTACTTATGAACAAAAATAGCATGTTATAACGTAATTGGAGAAAACGTAAAGGGTAACAAATAAATGTAAAAAAATTGTAAAAGTGAACAAAGGTCGTAAAAATGTAAACATAGATAAAACCCTCGTTCTCTCTGGACAGGCTTGACAAATTTCACAAAACCCCTCAAGAGGTTCGATCCATTTTTAAGATGACCACAAAAAAGTAAATGCCACTTAATTCTCAAGATATTTACATTTTTTTTGGAATGTAATTTCGAATGAGCCTTAAAAAGTTTTAGGGGTTAGGTGATCTTTGCAAACCTTTTCGGGTTATCTCAAGACGAGTCAATCATCTTCGGGGTTTTGTAAAAGAAAAATTCCCAAAGTACCTAAAATATGGGATCAACAAGGGAGACATGTAAGATGTCCCCCTCCTATATATTGCATAATGAGCTGATCATCATTAATGACGATCAGCTTATTATGCAATAGGAGGGGGACACCTCACATGTCCACAATATTGGTCCCATATTTTGGGTCCTTGTAGCAAAGTTCTTAAACTGTGGGGACCGAGATACTTGGTTCAGGGTACTACACTTAGCCGTTTTGTGCCGTTGTGCTCAATAAAGCACAACAATACTTCAACCCTGACATGCAATTACGCTTGAGTTATGATGCGCATTCAAAGCTTAACCAAACCACCACCACAAACCTTAATCAGCTCCCAGCCTTGACAACAAATGATTAATGAAGCCTGAAAAGCCAACAAAAATAAAAAAAGAAAAAAGCTTGAACACACCTGCAGTCATCCCAAAGCATGTGAGTCCTGAGAGTGAGACCTCAGGAGCACAATCCCATAATTTGTCACTGTGCCCTGCACGTGAAATTAGCAGTTCCTTTCAAAACGTCCCCTTCTAGTAAATGTGATGCAAGATCAATGTGTCAAATTTTCACTGTTGACACCGTACGTTATTAGTTGTGTTACATCGGTAGTACGCTTTCCTTTTGCATTAATATTTTAGCCAAAGAAAAATGTTTGCATAAACTAGCAACTGAAGAACAAATTTTCACTGTAGACCCAAATGAACTTTTAATTACCAAAATCGACTGTTTTTTTTTATTATTATCAAAATCGATCCGTTTTATGCCACGTAGGCTTAATCTCGTTTCCTAATTAGTCGGCGTTGCCAACCCCGACTGTTTAGGAGTTGTTAAACCCCAATTAGAAACCTTAAAACCCGATTTGTAATACCCTAAACAGTCGGGGTTGGCAACCCCGACTAATTAGGAAACGAGATTAAACATACGTGACATAAAACGGATCGATTTTGGTAATTTAAAAAAAACGGTCGATTTTGATAATTAAAAGCTCATTTGGGTCTACAGTGCAAATTTGTTCAGCAACTGAAAATATGATCTATCAGCTGAGCTTATAATAGTCCAAACCACAGAGTGCGAACGGAAGCTAATTGAACAAAGTAATTATTATCTTATATAAAAAGCTCAATTCACAATCTCCATCATAATAAAAAAACTGGACACACGCATCGATCTGATCGAAAACATGCCAGGGGGCGAAGAAATTACAAAGCATTATCATTACTATATTTCTTGCTGAGAAACATTACATAACATTATTGATGATATATCCATGATGGCAGACTTCGCTTAAAGATTGCAACAAAAAGCCATCATTCGGGCCTCTCTGCTGCCTACGTTACTCTCTCTCCCTATCAATCATCGATCTCTTTACACACTCTCTCCCCCAATCTTATCCAATCCAACCGTTAGCACACAAACAAACAACAAACAAACCAAAAAAAAAAAAAAAAAACCCAAATTCAAACTCAAAACCAAGGGTTATTTAGATATCAGCCCCTAAAATCTTGGAAAAAGTTTCACAGGCCCCACGGATTCCAAGGGGGTCTTACAAAATGGTACCCCCCAACTACTGCTTTTTTTTGGAAGATCCCTTCGGATTCGAGGCGCTTGCGGAGCAGCTTGAAAGAACTGAGGGGCTAAGGACTAAATAACCCCGAGAATGAATCACACCAAAAAAAAAAACAAATAAATTACTTACGCAAATCAAAAATAATTAGCCTCAACGCTAATCCCCGTCGTTCGGGCACTGCTCCCTTGGCCGAGCCTCCGAGCTCCGACTCCCGCGCACACAGAATCTCGCACCTCCGGCAGATCCATGCAGTGTACGCCAAACACAGCGCCAACCGACTCGGGCAGGCGGGCCCGCGCCTCTCTCGGGAACCCGCGCTTCAGAAAAATTATGCTGCGCTGTAAACTGCTCATGCTGCCGTCGAACACCCTCTCGCCACAACTCCGCTCGGACACGAGCGACGAACCTGTTGCTATTAGGAACAGGCTCTGAGGCCAGAGGCCAGGCCGGGCACGGCGCCGGCTCTATCGAATTTGGCTCAGTCGTCGACGGTGAGCATGACGACGGTACCCTTTCGGGCAGGATTAGCGGACCGGAGAAGTTGTTCCGGTGCAAGAGGATGGTTAGCAGTTCGGGCAGCGCGAAGATTGCGGTCGGGACCTGCCCGCTGAACTTGTTCATCGACAGATCAATGTAGGTCAGGTTCGGTAGACCGGCCGAAAATGCGGCCCCTACCGGCCCGTACAACGAATTGGAGCCCACGGAGAGGTACCGGAGGGACGTCGGCAGCAGCGAAGGGAGGAAGCCCGACAGCGAGTTCCTGGCCAAATCGAGGTGGAGCATCGACGACCTCGACATCGAGGCGGGCAGTGCGCCAGATAGGTTATTATATCCCAGGACTGCAACTTTCAGGCTGGGCAGCGCCGTGAGCAGGGCAACCGGAACTGGGCCAGTCAGCTGGTTATGGCTCAAATCAAGAGTGTGGAGCTCGGTAAGGCCCGCTAACGAGGCCGGGATTGGGCCGGAGATGAGATTGTTGGATATCGAGATAAGCCGGAGGCGGCGGCACTGGAGCCCGACGGACTCCGGTATCGGGCCGGAAATGCGGCCCGGGTTGATGACCAGTTCGGTTAGGGAGGTGAGATTCGAGATGGAGGTGGGGAACGGGCCTTCGAGGCCCGGGGAATTCTCAAGCCCGGTGCCGAGAGTGAGGGCTGTGACCCTGAGAGTGGAGTCTGAGGGGTCTGGAGAGCAGATGATGCCCGAGAAAGAAGTGCAGGGGTCGGCTGAGGGAGAGGAGTCCCAAGAGGAGAAGAATGTTGAGCCCGGGAGGCCTCGGAGAGAGCTCCGGATGTCGAACAGAGCCTGGGTTTCTGTTGGGTTTAGTGAGGTTGAGGGGTGGAGGTGGAAGAGGAGGATAATGAGGAGAGAATGAGGGAATTTAGCCATTGAAGTAGCTCTCTTTGCTCTGAATTTTTTTTTTTTTTTTGAGTTTTTTTACTCTGTTTTGGTGTTTTAAAAGGGCGAGAGAGAGCTGGGGAAGACGAAGGGCAATCAGACTGGTTGGTCTTCAGTCAGAGGAGAGAGGGTTTGGTAAGAGGACATGGAAGTATTTTTTTAAGAGTCGGGGAGCATTAAATATGGGTGGGGTTGCAAGGTGGGTAAATTCTGCTTAGCTCCCTGGAATAGTTTTTGTTTTAGATGTAAACCCATTTTTCAAGGGAAGTTTTATCTTTAAACCGCTCAAATGCGAGAATTTCCCTAGCACCAAAGTGTACTAGTCTACGTGCCATAATGAATTTTTTTTCTTCCTGCATCTTACTTCTAATTATTTAAAGGAATCTATGGAGCCTAATATTTATGATTTACATTCTACAAAATAGTTGAAAATAAAAATAAGGTATATAACGATCATTTCTCTTCTATCAAGTGGTCTAACCAAGGTTGCTGATAGCGGATCGCGGCGCGGCGCGGCGAGGTACCGCTAAGGCTATATCGGGCTATTACGGTGAAATCGCGGCAAATAACGCACAGTCAAATAGCGGTTAAATTTAAATATCCTAAATAATAAGAAAATTCATAAAAAATCTAAAAATTCAATTAGTTATAAATTTCTTGTATTATCAGTAAATAATAATTAGTAGGCTTGTTGTATGAATGAAACTATGAAGAAATTTAAGAAATATAGCATCATAATATGTGTGATAGCGGGTTTAGCCGCTTTTAACCGCGAAAATCCGCTTTAAACCGCGAAAATCCGCTTTTAACCGTGAAAACCCGCTTTTAACCCGCTAAAATCCGCTTTTACGCGCTATTCGAATGAATAGCAAATTTTCCCGCTAAAGCTAGCCGCGAAACCCCTACGCGTAGCGCTGAAGGGCCGCGACCGCTATTCGCGCCGCTATAGCCCCGCTATTTGCCGCTATTTACAGCACTGGGTCTAACTTTGTTTAATTCTGATAAAAAATTATTTAATCCTATGCTAATTAGTGGTTGGATAAATGATCGATAAAAATCCCTTCAATTTTGATTTTGTGTCCCTTATTAGGCATGTTCGATGATAAATTGTTCTAATTTCATTATAAAATGGCCAATGCTAGCCACAGTCGCGCGTGTAGTTCACTCGCACTGTGGTTGGCACACCTGTCCCTAAAGGAACATGTGTCCTAGCCATAGTTGCCCATGAGCCCCCCACGCGACTATGGCTAGCATCCTCTTATAAAATAGCCGTAGTGCCTGAAATTTCTTTTGCTCAAACTTTTTTTTAGTTTTCTGTATGTATATTATGTATATGGAAAAAGCAGCTATTTTCCTCATTAAATAATTTCTTTCTGGGGAAAGAAATGCATTTGCATAAATCAGAACATTCATCTTATGTTCCCGTTCGATTAGAGGCAGGGCAGGGAGACCTTTTCTCCCCAAATCAAAAGGACTAAACAAGAAAACAAAATCAAATTAGGAGGTAAACTAAAGTTTCTCCAAGAATACGTGTTAGAGATGGATAAAATATTTAAAACTGGAGGATTTCAGCAAATGGATGAGATTGCTGAAATTGAGAAAGATGAGAGGGGGAAGAGGAGACAAAGCATGTGATTGCTCATTGGTATTTTCCCAAAAATAAAAACAAAGTTCTAATGAGGGTAGTGCTGGTTTTCTTTCTCTTCTGTCTTAGATGCACTCAAATTTCTGAATTTGAGTTAAACTGAGCTCCCTTAATTTATTATATTCTGTTACTGAGGTTTGAATGAACCAAACTATAAAATATTAACCATTTAATATTAGTAAATTATAGGACTAAAATATGAAGGTGTTTTGGGTGGGAGTAATTGTAGCTGCACGGGGTTTCAATTAAATCTAAACTCTAAAAAGTATCTACTTAGTCTGGTGTTGGTGCAACTACAAGGAATTATTGGAAAAATATAATACCCAAACCAGAAAAATTGTTGATGCTTTCTTATTGAACAACATTCCAATAGTATGAATTAAAATTGTATGGTATATTATAAATACACTTCAATTTTCAATTATTTCTCACCAAAAAGTAACTTCTAGAGATAGTGGACGAAAAAAGTTGGTCCCATCACTCAGAAACTAGGAGCTCTTATTCTAACTGTGATGCTTGGCCCTGAAGGGAATCAGATTGAGAAGCAGGTTATCAGTGTGAACTGGCATTTTGTAGTAGTTTTTGCAAATCTTTGTTAAAGTTCATCACCAACTTGTACTTGAGTTTGCTCCCACATGTAAAAGGTCACCAACTTTTCTTTACATGTGATCAGCAATTGAGCTTATTTATAGTTTGTGATCCTAAAGCTGTCTAATTTAAATTAGGAATATATATAAGGAGCTTTATATTTTTAAATGTCTATATGTCATTATAATGATCTATCAAAAACTCAGTCCGAATGAGCTTTAGATGCATGATACTAAACTCCCATTTGAAGTGAGAGCTTATCGGATCTAATCTCTCTCTCTGCAACTGTTTATTAGAAGAGGATGATAGGATGCGTTACTATTTCGTTATACATGATTAAGCTACCTGTTTATCCTGTGTATTTAGATAAATTACGTAGATCTTACGAGTTACTGTCAGGTTCATTGCCAAGTAACTTCTAAAAAAGTCTCCAAGACTAACACAAGTGAAATAGCCAAATGCAAGAAACGTGTGCTAAAAGATCCTTTTGTAAGGATAACTTGTTGAAAACAGACTTAGATTAAATGTCTGCGGGTGGTAGTGAAGCTGTCAGTTGCATGGCTAACCAAAATGATACTTAATAACCACGAAGAAACATATGGAAATGGGGGAGGGAAAAAAAAAATGAAAACTACAAATATATAGCAAATTACAAGCGTTTCCCACCTTCATTAATTAATACTAATTTTTATTAAAAAAAATTTGTGTCGCTAGCGTAAAGCCTGCAGGAGACGTTGACAACTATAATTTTTGGCAGGCACTTTGTGAGGCAAATATCAGGACATTTGATGGTGGAGCCAGTTTCATTTGTACCCAACGTAAGAGGTTAGAGTACCTTGAGCCCATTCTATGACGAAGTGGCTTTGGGTCCACATTTCAGGAGAGCACGAGTCCAATTCTTGCCGCTTATTTGGTTTCCTTCTAAAACTAACGCTAAAGTTTAGGATACTTATCTTTTTGGATCTGTTAATTTCGGTAAATTACACACAATCCCCTTGTTTTTTGGCCACAATCCCCTTGTTTTTTGGCCCATCCTCAGATGAACCCTTTCAATTTTAAAATTGGGCATTTAATCCCCTAACTTTTGGACACGTCATATTGTTTTTGGATTATCTGAACACACTTGCATTCCTATGAGATCAATGCCATACATTCTCTAAACCTTACAATATTCTCTAAAAGCCCCTACCTATTATTTTAACATATTAAGCTTTTCCCCATAGTTTTTCGTTTCATTATTTTAAGCCTCGAGGGGGTACCATCGGAAACAGGATGAATAGGATTACTATAGTTTTTTGGATAAATTCGGAATATACAACAAAAATAAAATATGAAAAAAACTGAAAGCAACCAACATAGGAACTATTATGGTGTTTATTCGCCTAAGATAAGAGTATTTGCAAAACGATACAATAAGAGTCCTGGCAAAATGACATCAACCCACTTAAGTGGCCCAAGCCCAACAGAGGCCTCGACCCCACCGATTCATCAAGTCGACATTCTTTCATGCCGACGCGAAAGACAGGATCAGTCGACCCTATTGTTGAGGACGACCCCCTAGGGCACTCGACCATTCACTTGGCAGCTCATGGAGACGACTTGAAGGACATTCCCTGCTGTCGGCTAACTTGAGGACTCGACCCCTGCCTCAAGCCTCTCCCAGAGCATATGTCAACATTTCAGTCCACCTCAGACAAGCGTTATCCAGATTTTGGCCTGATGGTCTCCATGACTTGTCAGCTACCCACAAGCCTTCTGCCACGCTCTCAATCACTTTTCGGAAAATACGGAGACACCATCTCCTGTACCGAAGTGACTTCCCCTCCAGTCACCAGCCGACACCTGTAAAACAAGGGATGACTCAGCATGCTAGCGTGCCTTCTGTCATGCTCTCAATCACTTCCCGGAAAATGCGGAGACACCCTTTCCCGTGTCGAAGTGACTTCCCCTTCAATCGCCAATCGAAACCTGTAAAGCGAGAGATGACTCGGCTCTTAGCCCGCACTTCATCACCGCCTCCCTATGCAGGGCTAGAGGTGATCTATTGATCCCCATGACAGAGATATATACAAGTATACTCTTAAGAAAAAAGCTCAAGCTAACCCACAGTTATTCGCCTAGACAGAGGAGCTCACGTAGATCATCTGAGCATGCATATTGCCACTTTAAGAACCACATCGGTTCCTGACCTTCCACTTCTCCACTCGAGTTTCACTAACTTGACCGTCGGAGGAATCACGGGGAACCGGTCCCCGCCCTCTCATGGTTTCTTCTTGTCTGTGCAGCTTGGACATCAAACCCCCGTTTGAGAGCCTAACATAAAGTCGAAGAAGGGAACGACCCTTCCATCACTCTCCCCTACCCGTTCCGACGAGGACCCAGGGGGACCGCTCCTGTTCTGGATCAGAACCGATCCTAGTCCGGATCTGATTGACTGTTTGGTCCTAGTTATCAACAGTTTGTAGCCCACCGTGAGGCTACTCTTCTTTTTCGAGAAGACATGCCAAGTTCTGAACAAGGGCCTGATTCTACTCACCCTGAAGAATAACATCGGAGTTGCATCATCCAAGTTAAATGAAGTCAGGAGTTGTATCATTCAAGCTAAGGAGGGTTAGCTTTGGCTAAGAGGAACCAACATAGGCGTAGTCCTCGAAAGCCTCAGCGCCTTATCTGGGGACTGTTTGCCAAGCATACTATCGGCTAGATGGTAGAGTGACCTTCAACCCCCTTAGAAAATCCTCCAGAAAAAGACACACCATAAGGGTGGTTGTCTTTCTTGAAAAGCAACACCGACTTCTAATCGCCATCACAGAATAACTCTGGCAGGAACACATGTTCCGATCAGACCAAATATCACTTGAGCTCCAACTAGCAATAGCTCATATGAGCAGTGATTAAGTTTGTGATAAACATCTTGGACCATGAGGATTCTTTGAAGGAAACTCTCATACACCAGTGATGAGATTGTGGGAAAAGCTTAGGGCATGTCGGCTGATTGTCTTCTTAGGAAGA